TTCCTCCTGCTTCCAGTTTCAATGTGAAGCTAAGCTAACCATCTGTAGCTTCATATTTAATTCATATTTATTTTCAGATATGAGAGAGATATCACTCCTGTCTTCTAACTCTCTGCAAGATATCAAATATTTACTATTATGTTGAACTATTTAGGGAGTCATTTTAGAAGCTTAGATAAAAACAAATATACCTGAAACTCCTCACGTGAGAGAAAAGTATAAATAAATAATGATATTTTATTTATAAAGCATATTTTAAGATACTCTAAGACGATTTACACGATGAAGAAAATATAATACCTCAATAGAGACTCAATAGACACTACTGTGGGAATATCTTACAAATATTAGGCATACAGTAACATACAGAGTTGTAGAAAAGAAGAAGAAAATAATCTTTCCTTTTTACCTTCAGGTGCAAGAGAGTGAACTTGTGATATGTATAAGAACTGTATGTTTGAGAATTGTATGTATGAAGTATGAAAAACTAACAATGGTACTTTGTACACAGTAGCAGGTACTAACTAACAAACTATTATTATTGAATTATAGCTAATGGTCATTTAAAATGTATGTATAACTTTACATTGCTCCATAAAGCCACTTTTTCCATATTTATTTATAAAAATTTTGATCTACTGCATTTTATATTCCTTGTTATGTCATTACTGTTATTTTGTCACTATTCTTTTATGCTGTGCATTGTGTGATGCTTCATTATTTTTATCTAAGTGTGTCTTGTATGTTTTGTTTATGTTCTACAATGCTATCTTGGTCAGGAGACTCCTAAAATGATGTGTAGCACATATGCACATTCTCACCCCGTTCACTGGAGGCTTCACTGCTGTAGCCTCCCTGCTCGGTGGACTGTTTGCGCTTGTTGCTCCACGCAGAGGTTGTGTTCTGCTGGGCCACAGCCTCGGGCCCTTTGTCCTCTTCGCTGTCTGATAAAACTCCCTCTGGACAGAACACATGGAGACTCTAGTTCAAACATTACATTTATCACACAAACCATAATATGTGCGACGTTTAAAGAAACGCAGAAGATGAGAGCAAAGGTGCAGATGCTTGAAAGCTGGCACACGGGGAAAGGTTCATTTTCAGGTTATGCTTTCAAATGTTGAAAGAGTTTGAAGACACGAGAAGAAGACCCAGGCGGTCAAATAGAAGCAGCACATCGTCTAACCTTGGTTGCTTTTCTTTTTCTTCTTGCTTTTCTTCCCTTTCTCCTTCTTTTTCTCCACATCTGGGGTTTCTTCCGATTTCTTTGAACCCTTCTTCGATCCTTTCCCTTTCTTCTTGTCTGACTTTTTCTTTTTCACTGTTGAGGAAGATCTAGAAAGCTCAGCCTCCTCCTCATCATCTCCCTCTCTCTCGAGGCTGTCCTCTCTTGCTTCCTCTTCCTCTCCCTCTTCTTTTTGCTTGTTCTGTTTCGATAACCTGCTTTCAGTCTCTGGCCCAGGTGACTGAGGAGGTTCATCGCAGTCATTAGCTCTTTGCTGAGCACTGGATTGGTCTCCACTGTCACTCTCCTTTCTCTCTGGCACATTGTCTGTTTCCTGCTCTTGCTCTCCATCCTGGGATTCCTCCTTGTTTTTCTGTGTCTTGGTTTCTTTCTCCAGCTGCTTCTCTCTCCTTTCTTTTCTCCTCTGCTCTTTCTTCTCCTGAAGCTCCTTCTCCTCTTTCTTCCTCTTCTCTTCCTCTGCTAACTCTGCTTCAGTCCTTTTAACCCGCCAGCATCCGTCCCTCCATTCCCACTCCAGCTGGCTCGCAGCATGCTCAGCCTCCGTGGTGTCACTGGCCTGGTTGGTCTTCGAGGTTGCATTGCCCGCGTCTGAGTCTCTAGACATTTGCCACATGCTTTTATTGCTGGTCTTGCCCTCCTGTGCGGTGCAAGTCTGACCAGCCTCCTGACTGCTGCTGTTTTCCCCATCATCCACCTTGTTGATGATAGTGGTGACCTGCTCTGTCAGTTGGTCGCTGACAGCGTAAGTGACATCACTGACAGCGTTGGCCAGGTCATCCACACGACTGGTGACTGAGTCCAAGATGGAGGAAATGTTGACAGATGGCAGGTTGTGCTGGAAGCTCTTGAAGAAGGCCATCTCTCAGCCGGGGATCCCGTCGCCACGCTGACCACCAGATTAGCTCATCAGAGGCACTGACACGGACATGTGGTTGTTAGCAGGGTGTGGCACCAGCATCACAGTGTGTGCTGAGAACAACACGTGCATATACACCAAACAATGTGGTGATTGTAGAGATTAAAGTAAATGTTCTGTACCAAGAGCTTCTCTCACTGTGTTTTTGTATTCAACTATTTCTACTCAAATGTGTCAGATATTATAATAAGGTTTTTAGAAAGCACCCACAATAAAATAAAATATATACGAACTGGGATAGTAACACTGTAAAAACACATGAAAATCTCACAGGTTCAGCCTCTGATTAACTTTGTCTCTACAAATTTTATTCGCATCCTCAATGTTTTTCACCAGTACTAACTCTGTTCTCATTTCAGGCCCTGGGTGCTTTCCAGAGGTGGGAAGGAAATAAATACAAATACTTTGTTACTGTACAACTTTTTACCCTAAGAATAGAAAAGAACCAAAGTGGTATCCTGTCCAAAAAAGAAGCAGCTGGCCTGTTGTTGAAGCAGCTTATGATATGATTTGTACTGTAGTTAGGCAAAACAATAACAGCACCTGGTTCTCAAGTTATTCATGTTTATTCATAAAATAAAACATTATGTGTCCAGAATCTGGATAATGAATGAATCATGAAAACATGATCACGCTCCTTGGCTTATTTAGGAAAAAATATGCAGCTATACAGTCCTATACAGCGCCACTTTGAAACTATTTATAGAACAAATTCTGCATGCAAAGTTATGCAAAAAGACCATGTTAAACCCTACTCTCTTATATTTGTGTCCTTAGATGTGGACTTTACAGTGTTGCAATATTGCACTATTTAGATTTGGTTTCACATGTAACTGAGGATAAAGATCAACAAGGCAAACTTCAAAGTCTTAATATAAAACCAGAACAAAGATGATCATCCTAATAATGTGTGTTTGTGTGTTTGTGTAAATGCAGCCACTGTGGTAAATCTGTAAGTGTGCTGAGTACCTGGCTGGCTGTTCTTATAGCCACTGAGATGTGACAGGTTGTCAGGACTCTCCACTGACAGCTTGTTGCTGAGGTAAAGAAAAAACACAGCCATCAACGCCATGAAGGCTGCGATGGAAGACAGCACACCCAGAAGCTCAGGAGAGACTGAGGAGAAGAACAGAAATACAGAGGGAGAGAAGAGGGGAGACGGGGGATGGAAAGGGAGAGGCAGACAGAAAAAGAGAAAAACAAAATTAGACATAGGAAAAGATAAGTAATACTGATTATGGAGGAATGTAACTTTCCAAACCGAAGTCTTTCATTTTTAAGAAAAAAAGTCTTAACACAGATGGCTGCAAGCTGAAAAATGCTATTTTGAATAAAATCCTTTTAAGGCTGTAAACAACCCCACTTTGATACCACAAATAATTCTTTTTGATGATAGGCATCTTATTTCAAACTCCTCAAATGTTGCCTTGTGAAGGGAGCATTAGCTATTGTACTTTTAAACAGCCAGTGAGTTTTCCCACTTCAAAGGCATACCAGATACAATCTACAGCAGTGTATGTAGGCCAGCCGTACTTCATGTAACCATGCAGCCCTGCGCTGCTGAAGTGCTATTTTTATGAGAGCCTCAAAGGGACTGTATCTTACTGAAACATAGACTTGGTAAACCAGCCAAACCGCAATGGGCCTGCACTTAATAGGCTACTACACAGACACACCGGAGTGTTATAGCTTAAGAAAAAGGGGAAGCCGGCGGACAATGAAGCATGAACGGCATTTCTAAAGACCAAATGCCTTGGTGGAAAGGGCAGCATGTAAAACGAAGCACACTGCAAGCGAGCCTTGGTGATATGAGGTGTGAGGAGTGTCTGAATTTCAAGTTTAAGTACTTGAGGCACATGATACAGTTTTTTGATTCCAAAATAATATATTCAACAGTGAATTCCTTAGTATTTTATTAGAGATACCATTTTCAAAGGCTTTATACACCCACACAGGTGTTTTCAATTGACATTTCACTGATCCCCTCCTGAATAACAGTTGCTTAGCTTATCAACCATTTAAAGAATTTGGGGCATGGTGTCTTTTAAATCGAAAACACAAAACTGTAAGGAATGGATTAAAGGAGCAGTGTGTAGGATTTAGTGGCATCTACTGGTGAAGTTACAAAATGCAACTAACTGAACTAAATGAGTAGGAGAAAGTATAACAGCCACAAAAGATGCATAAGGCCCTATCTGCAGCCAGTGTTTGTCCGTTCTGGGCTACTGTAGAAACATGGCGGCTCAACATGGCGGACTCCATGGAAGACGACCCACTGGGTCTGTAGATTCCTATACTCAGGTGATTATACACGAATGAAAACATAACAATGGATATTAGATTCCATTTCTAAATATAGATCCTCTTAAATGTTACACATGGGACCTTTAAAGTGTGTGTTTGATTGCTATAATATTAGCTAATTTAGCACATCTGGCTAACTAGCTTACAGTAGCAGTAGGGATCACTGTTACTTCCAAGGCTTTAGTTAGTTAGCATATAATTTACATTAGTTTGTGTGGTCCACTGTGTGTCCTGGATGCTCTATGTTGGATTTTGGATGGTTAACGCCTTTTGTCTTGTTACATTAAAAGTGAAACATACTGTTTGAATATAAAAACAATAAAGCAAAAATAAGACAAACAACAATAAAGTTGCAGGCCTTAAAACCAAAACAATGAGCTGAAAGATGCTAAAACTCTCCGTAAAGCTGAGGGACTGCAGAACTGGATGATCAATGTTTGTGGGTTCATCACTATGAGTTTTTACATTACTCATTGTCATTGTTAATGCAGCTTTAAGGTGGCACTTTAGCTTCTTCTGGGATGTAATATTTTATATGATCCTAACAGCCAACTCTATTTATGATTTGTAATGTGTTTGTGACATATTTTGTGTTATCTGTTTCATTTTGTTTTTTTAATCTCCTGGTTAGGAGACAAATAGGTAAAATAAACAACCAACTAGTTATCCAACATCCAGCTTCTAAATTGTGGACTTGCTGTTTGTCTTTGTCTTATGTGATTTAAATTGACAATTATATATATTTTAGACTGTTAATCAGACAAAACAAGCTATTTGAAGACATCAACTTGGGAAATGGTAAGGGGCATCTTTCACCTTTCACATTTTATTGACCAAACAAATAATTATTCAAATGATAAAATATTATATATACATATATATAAATAAAAGTGTGGTGCATTTCAAGCCAGTGCGTTTGGTGTAGCAGACGCAGCCCAAATGCTGTAGCATGTGGTTTGTAGCAGGTGAGAAACAACCATCACCACCAGTAACTGTGAAGACTGGTTTCTCCCTGAGAGCACAAATGAGAGTGTAAGAGAGAAAAATAGAGGCATAGTTTCTCAAACCTCCTGACTACAGACTGAACTTATGGACAGACTAGTTTCACCATGGCAACAGGCAGAGACCACTGCAGCCTGACAACTAGCGCTGCTGCCTGCTGCAGACTACCGAAAATAATGAATGCTAAAATTCCCCAAGAATGGCATTGAGAAGTAGGAGAGAGATACTAGAGCGATGTGGCAGCAGAGGCTTACCTTCTCTAAATGAATATCCTCTTTAAAGCCAGCTGTTCCCAAAAAGCACTATCAGTACTTCTGCTGCTATACATAGTAAATGATCTGAGAAGAGAGGGGGAAAAACAAAGTTGTCCTGCTCTGAAGTAATCCGACATGTAATAAATCCCTTACACTTAGACGGCGTCCAGCACTTGTCAGGCTTACGTATCAACTCTCACTGCTGACAGTTGTGTCGATTGAGCCAGAATGACCTCTGCAGCCACGGGCACAGCAGCCTGCCTGTCGAACTGAACAGCTTATGGGCCCTGTGCCCCTGGGGTGTGATGACACTTCATACATGGCCCCTTGCTCTGTAAATGTCAACGACAGCTGAATAATTTAGCTACCTGAGGTAACTCGATCCCCTCTGTTGATGTACACTGGAAAGTGGAGCGGTGACAGGACGCCTTTTGGAAAAGCTTGCACGCCGCTATTGGTTATTTTTTATACCCATCATTCTGAGGAAAATCTGATATTTCTCTTTAACAGCAGAGCAGATTAAATGGGATTTTTTTTTGCCTCTCAGCCACTTCCCTTTCTCTTTATAAGCTTTTTTAACTCCCCTCTTTCACCCTATCCATCCTGCTTGAGCATGTGCATGTACAATTTGTATGTCTGAGCAGAATAAATAAAGAAAACACAACCAAATAAATCTTTTTTTTTTTTTTACAGCGTGTGAACTGAGGCTGAACTCAGGACTCCGAACTGAGCCTCAGGATTCAATCTGCATTATTTCTTTTCCAGGTAAATGACTCCAGCAACCTGACTAACAAACATAAAAACACAGCCACTGAAGCATTCAATGTGAAAAACAGCAAATGAATAACAACCTCAAAGAAAAAGTGAACTCATTTATATGAAATGTTTTCAAATAAAACAAAGGGAAATTAATTATTCTGTCATGTTTCTACATCTTTTAAACACAAGACAGAAAGAAATGATGTCATATTTCCTCACTCCTCGAGTTAACCCTCATTCATTTATTCATGTAATAACTTATCCCACTTTTAAGCTTTTTAGACCAGTGCATACTTAACTTGGCTGTTTATAGGGCATGCTTGTTTAAAAAGTAGGTAGGCAATCTGGAAATGTTGCTTACACATGGACCTCTGATACGAAACAAAACCTCCACACTGAATAAATCATGAACACACAGCTGCCTTCTTTTGCTGAAGTGAGCCAAAACTCGATATGCCATGCATAATTCAGACCCTGACATTATGCTTTCTGAAGTCTATATAGAGATACTTTCTACACACCAAATTCCAGTGAAAATTAACAGGATTTAAAGAACAGGTGGGAGTTTGGGCCAAATATTTGGACGTATCAAGTCTTTTGTGCTTTTTAAAGTGAATTAGTGGAGCGCAGCCAAGCACGCACGTCAGTCTGAAAACAATCACACACACACAAAAAATGTACTCTTATGCCTAACGCAGACACACAAGTGTTAAGAGATATGCTCGGTTGTAACATGGCCTTACCTCGTCTGGCACATATGAGCTCATGAACACCACAGTTCCTCCCCCCTCCTGGGAGAGAAAGAGATGAGAAGTTGGGAGTCAGAGGTTAAAGATTATTCCATGTACTGAAGAAAACATATGGTCAGGCCTCAAGGTTAGGAAGGCTGGCAGATGCTTATGCCAACACATAAAAACTGATTAGCTGCAACCAAGTGAGAAAACTACACAATCAAAGTTAATATAAGTGCACCATAAGAGGGAAGTGAAGAATATCTGACTGAAAATAATAGTTTAACATTTTATATTCACTTTCTTGCTGAGAGATAGATGAGAAGATAGATACCACTGTGATATTAGTTTGTTAGTGTTAGAGACAGTTGGCTTAGCTTAGCACAAAGACTGGAAACAGATGGAAACAGCTAGCCTACAGTATAAAAATGGTTTTATCGGGGGTTGTGCGTGGGACTATTTCTTGGCTGCGGGGTGCTTGTGGGTGGATTGTTTAAGCTAACCGTCTCCTGGCTCAGGCTTCATATTTAACAGACAGACATGAAAGTGGAATAAATCTTCACAAGAAAGTGAAAAGGCCAGAAAAATATATATGCCATTCCTTCAAATATTGCGTACATTAAGGGGTAAAGTACTCGAAATAACTATAAATAAATAAAAAGTACACTGTAAGCCATAACCATCTCTGAAGCAGCAATACCCCCAGTAACAATGGGAATTAAAATATCTCTCTCTAAATGGGTCAAAACTGTGCTAAGGCTCATTAATGTAATATATTATTCATATTAAATGCAGTAATTAATACTTCAGTTCATCTTTCAAGAGATCTAAAGTAATGATTGCAGTTGTTACACTCGGGGCTGTAGCCAGGACCCCCCAAAATAAACAAGTAGAGTCTCTGATAGTTTCATTATTGAAATTTTATTTTCTGAAGTTTCTTATAACTGTGTTTCCTAACATGTTTCACCTAATTATCTCCAATAATATGATCTTTTTACATTATCTGGGAAAAAAGTTTACGTTTTTTTTTTACTATTTTTGATCCAATTAGTGAGACATTTTTACTGCAGGTTGTTGTTACATTTCCTGGTAGTTATATCAGTTGCTTTAATCCCCCCGAGGCTTAATTTAATGAAGGACACTGACCCGTATCTCCCTCACAATCATTCACACACATTATGCACATATATTCACACAATATCTCTCTTGGCTCAGCAGTATTCAGTGGCAGAAGCAGATATTGGCTCTTTTAACAGTTTAAATTGGGGGGGATTTGGGGTAGCGTCTTTGTTTTTATTCTTTTTACCTGTCTTGGGCTTTGAGAAACAATATTGTACTCCCCTGAACTCCACTAATAAAATGTAAACAAATCTTCCATTCATTCACTTATTGTATCACTTCCCTCAAATCAAGGATTGGACGCTGAAAAATGGTCTGAGGTGACGACTCGATGCCAAAAATAAAATAAAAAAGCTCTGAAACAGACTTGTCTCCTGTCACACAGCAGACAGACGCTCTCTAGACCAATTCACTTAATGGCAGAGAAACTCTCTGTTCACTAGACAAAAAGCTTGCCAAAGTGTAGCAATCAGTCATACACGAGTCACTACTTTCCTTAAAATCACTGCTATTCTTACAAGAGGGCTTTTTCACAGTAATAAAAGCTTCTTCTTCCTCAGTCAAATAAAGAAAACTGGGGGGGAAAATGGGTATTATACATTAGTTTTGTGTCAATAAAGTGACAATAATAAAATATCAGATTATTCTGTAGTTATTATTTCAGATTAACTATAAGAAGTTTCAGGTTTTCTGTTTTGCTTACTATAATAATTGTCAAGATGACGATTTAATGGTGGGTTTAAAGTAAAACAGCAGTTGTAATTAAAGTATTCATGTTTTGAATATCAGTGGATCCTCTGGTTCCTAGAAGAAGCTGCGTATCACTGAGTCACTTTGTTTGTGTTGACTGTTTTAAAGTAAAAACAGGAAGTTGGAAACAATCCCTCCGTCCTTTTATTGGAGTAACTCCAAAATAAAACAAATTAAATTGGTTCAGACGGAAATCTATTCTCATTCTTCGCAATGATTTCTGACACTCATAACAACACTATGAAGTAAACATCATTATTTCAGGCCCTTGTGACGTCTAATAGAGCAACAGGATTCATATTTAAGGCGTTACATTAAGACATATACTGTGATTTTAATATTTTGGATGATAATGTGTCTGATACGTCTTTTCCACCAAGAAGTTAAATTACTTCTACTAATACAATTATTAAAATTAGACTACATGTTCATTTTCCACAATTACATATCACATTGTATATTTAAAAAAGTTTAACTACTGCTAGACATAACAAATCTCTAATTTTACTGCAAGGTCCATTCTCCAATGTGAGGTTTCAAGTGTCTATATCACACATTATTGCATATTTGATCATAAAAGTCATGCTTATACATCCACATCTTAAACTCACATTAAAAGAAACTTTGCACCTACAGTAAATGAATATGGAAACACGTGTGTCAACATCATTCTGCTGCATGGAGGGTGAATGTCAAACATACAATAAGCACATAAACACATATAAAGGTGGAGTTTTGGGGGGATGCACCTCCAACTAAAAGAAATGTTGATTCAAGACATCCCTAATTTGACTAATCAAAATTAAAAAGCAAGATATCTCTGAGTATAGTCTGAGTGGTAAGAGTGACCCATGTTATCTAACTTAAGTCATACCCAAACGCATTGAGCAGTGAGTGTATGAATTGTGAGTGACTCCCTGATATATTCCCGCCCCTGCTCCCTGTACCACTGCTGCCCATGGTGAGGCACTGCTGATGTCTTTATGAAACCGTACCCTCTCCTCTCAGGTGTCACATCAACAAACACCGCCGCACGCTTGGCTGCACGTGAGACAATGAAGGACCGTGCCCGGTAAACGGGACAACGAGCAAAACGCACGCGCCTACTCTTCACCGACTCCATCCTTTGTGTGTTCCGGTCACTTTCACTAGAACCTTGAAGAGACACTTGTCTGGTCGTCATGGAGGCTTTTATTTTTTTGTACACCGGTTGTACACATTACACGTAAGGGTAAAAAAACAAAAGCACGTGCCTCCACAAATATTATAAAAATAAATAAAAAGAACGTTCGATTTTAGAACTCGAACGTTCGATACTAACAGTTAATTCCATATTCATCCGCCAACGTGATCTAGTTCTTTAACAGGAGCGAAACAAAGTAGTTGTTGCCATGTGATGCTTAGCAGCAGCCTGCCGTGATTTTTTTTTTTTCAGTTACAGCCAACACATATATATATATATATTTAAATTAAATAGCCGCACTGTCACTGGCTCGTTAGTCAAATATTTCACACAAACGTCTCTCCAACGGTCAATCCGGGGGGACTAGCTAGTGTCCATCACTTTCACGCGGCTGAGAGAGCACGCGCGCATCCCATGAAGGGATCACAACATTCCTGCGTCGGTGCGGGTGTCATCAGCCCCGCGCTGCTAGCTGTCCCAGCTCCGGAGCACTGCGGTACTCGCGGTCTGATTGCAAATAAAAAAAAATACAAATAAAATAAAAATAAACTGGATTAAAATCGGTGAATGTGACATGTGATTTTTTAAAACGGCGTCCTCGTTCTGTCCCGCGGCAAAGTTTCCACACGAGTCCCGCAGTACACCTGAGATCGAGTACTTACCGTCAATCGCCATGATGCTCCGTCCCGGACTCTACCAACTCTGGGGGGGTAGGGGGGGTGTGTGTGTGTGTGATGGAGGAGGGAGGTCATTCATGTGCCAGTGGACGGTGTGTGTGTGTGTGAGGCAGAGATTGTGTAAGCATTTTCTATTTCAATAACTATGTAAGATATTAATGTGATATTACATGAATGATATTAATGTGAAAGTAAGATAAGATAAAGCCTTTATTGACCTGCCGAGAATTCAATTGTAGCAACACAAGGACAGGAATAAGTAGATAAATAAAGAAAGTAAAAAAATAAAAAGTGCATATGGAGCTAAACTAGCATTAGGTTCCCACCACCATGTTTGACAGTAGGGGTGGTGTTCTTAGGGTTGAAGGCTTCTCCTTTTTTACTCCGAATGATACATCATTGTGGCCAAACAATTCAATTTGTTTCATCATCTGACCATAAAACAGAAGACCAGAAGTCTTCTTCTTTGTCCAGATGAGCATTTGCAAAGGCCAAGCGGGCTTTTGTGTGCCTTATCTGGAGAAGTGGCGTCCTCCTTGGTCTGCGTCTGATGGACCCAGCAGTGTGCA